CCGCGGGACGCCGCACGGGTCTGAGCCGAGCTCGCCCCTCGCCCGGAGCGAAGCGCTGCCAGGCCCCGGCCCGCACACCGGGGAGGGAAGAGCCTGCCTGGCAGAGCCGCTGCCCCGTCCCGACTCCGTCGCCCGCTGCCCAAGGGGAAGATTGTCACAGATCAGCGAGAAGAGCACGAAAACGCCGCAGTCTCTCCAGGAGTGCTCTGGTTTTGAGGTCTCCCTCAAGACCGTGTAATGCTGGAACAGCGAGGCCGCAGGGAAAAGGCCACTTTCCGTAACGGCGTGGGAGGGAAGGTGCCAGGCCCGGGCTGGCCAAGCTGCCGGGCAGGCCTGGCAAACCGTCTCGCCTTGCCTGCTGAGCTAGAGCAGACGGGGACGGGCCACGCAGCGCTCGGCTGCGTCCTGCTGCAGGATTACCTCCTCGCAGCAAGTGTAATCACAACCAGAGCCACTCGTTTCCATGCTTCCGACTGGTGGAAAAGCATCTACATTCATTACAGTCAAAGAAAAAAAAAATGCACGTTGTTAGATAGGATTAATCAGTGAAGTGAAACATGACGAGCCACAGCCAGCCCACCGCTGGTACTGGTGCACCAGCTGGTCTGGGACGGGACAGCAGCAGAATCACCAGCACAAGGCAGAACATCAGCTTTGAAATGATTTTACTGAGACCTTTGGCTAGTGTGGCTCCAGTCGGCGTGGTCAAACTCAGCCAGAAATTTCGGTTCGGAAGGTCACAGGGAAGAGAACAGAGGAGTCCAGAGCCCGCTCCGCCGCTGCACTATGTGTAGAAGATGATCTCTGGGATTTGTCCGTCCTCCACTGAAGTGCCGTTGTTGTTCCCAGCCGCGTAACAGAACGTAAAGCAGGTTTTGGCTCCCGTCGTCGGCGATTCGTGGATTACTTTGCGCAGTCCTTTGGTTCCGTAGTGGGAATCTGGACCCTGCCATGGTCACAGAAGACAAAAGCGGATCACGACGGGGATCGCAGCCCTGCGGGACCCCGCTGCCCAGGCGCAGGCCGGGAGGTTTGGCCTGGCAGCCTGGCCCGAAGCCATCAGCTCCGGAGACCTCAGCACCTCCGCTCTCTGTCTGGTTCTTGCACCTCAGGTATTTGGAGCAAAGTTCCCGTCTCTCTCGGAACTCCGCGCTACGTTTAACCAGAACGCAGCAGTTAAACATCAACCTGCAGCCACGGCACGCAGGCTCCGGACCACACCCCCGCAGAACGGACAGCTCAAACCGCACGCACCACAGAAACCTCCCACCGCTTCACCCCCCGCGTAGCCTGCTGGTTACCGCGCACTCGCACAAGTGAAACACCAGCTCTGAATGCTGGTGGTGAATCACGGAATCGTGGAATCACTGAGGTGGGAACAGACCTCCAAGGTCATCCAGTCCAGCCGTCACCCCAACATCCCCAGGCCTGCTAAACCACATCCCCAGGTGCCACATCCACACGGTGTTTGAACCCCTCCAGGGATGGGGCCTCCCCCACTGCTCTGCGCAGCCTGGTCCAACACCTGACCACTCTTTCAGGAAAGAAATTTCTCCTGATATCCACTCTGAACCTCCCCTGACGCAACCTGAGGCTCAAGGCACCACCCGCCACCAGGCGCAGGACCACAGAGCAGACCTGCGAGGTGACACCACAGGCTTTGAAAAATGCAGCGCAAGAACCGTGCTGCACTGCAGGGACGGAAGACGCCTGCTTTCACCTCTCCCCATCTTCACCAGCCTCCCTTGTATCCGCGCCGCCCCAGTACGGTACCTTGAGAGTAGCGCATGCTGTGTAGTTGACGTTGGGTAAAATCTCAACAGGCTCCTTGAACATGACCCGGAAAGTGTTTGATGATCCGTCACAGCTGAACCCCGTGTCGTTCTGGCCCAGGACCGTGTTACTGTCCGTGTGGATGATCTGAAAGACAGGCATTAACTTTTAATCCGCACAGTCAGCCGAAGGCTGCCCTGCACCAGCGCAGCTCCGTCCCCCCTGAACTGGACTGAATCTGAGAGACTCAGCAGTTTGAGCCCTGTTACGACTGCACTACCCCATCGCTGCTGTCCATCTTCAGCGCCGTGACCACACCGAAAACCTGCGGGCTCAGCTCCCGGCCAGCCCACGACAATCCCTCCTTACCCTGAAGCCTGGCAGAGGACTGCAGGCTGAGGTTCTGTGCTTCGATCCTCACTTGCCTTTCACCGAATCACAGAATGTTTGGGGTTGCCAGGGCCCTCTGTGGGTCCCCCAGCCCAACCCCCTGCCCAAGCAGGGTCACCCAGAGCAGCTGCACAGCACCGCGGCC